CAATTGGGGTGGTGGTGGTGGGGAGAACAAAATAAAAAGTGTACAGCAGAGAACAAAAGAAAACCTACAAGGAAGCAAAAAAAAAAAAAAGGAAGCATCAAAAAAATGGACAGCTTTCAACATAATGCATAGTATTTAACATATAGGCTTTCTTGAAATGAAAAGTTATTGCTATATATTTTAAATCCTCTCCTATGTTCTGCTATGAACATGACTTTTTTTTATTTTATATTTAAGTTTGTTTTTTTTTGTACTATGTATTTGTTTTAGCATGTCTAAAATTTTTTTAAAAATTAAAAAATAAAACTACTCTTTGACTAACTAAAAAAGAAAAGGCCATTAGATTTTACTTCTATCTCCCTTTTCCACTTTGAACTCCTCCTCTTTCATCTTCTTGCTCTTAATATGCTTTTCTTAATGCCTTTCTTTCATATGCCCATACATATACACTCTGTTCTCAGTGCTCCCATTGTAGGCTCTTCACTGCAGCTAACTCACCCTAAGGGTTGATGAGGGAGATAAGCAATGTGGCCCCCATTATTGCTACCTTGGCCATTTTCATTTGTGCCCCATATCTTTCAGCTTCAGAGATCTGAAATGGCACATAAAAGCAGATGTTTTCTGACTCTCATTTGGGTCCGAGACTGGTAATGATGTCAAAAATGGAAATAAACAGAGCCTGGGATTGCTGGGTCAGCGTAGTTTCATTAGGGATCCATGCTGATTCTATCTAGTTATTTCACTGAACTCTTTGCATTGCCATTGGACTTTTAAAAAATATCTCTGGGGTGACAAATCTTTATCTTTATATAACTTACATAAATAGCCAAAAAGTTATAGGGTGCTAAGTTTAATGGCCAAGCTAGACAATAACAAAAACAAAACAAAAAAAAAAAGATTTAGCTATAAGGCTGTTTTTTTTCTTGTAACTATTAAAACTGGCTAAAGGAGTAGGGAAGAAGGAGATTCTTCAAGGAAACAAACTCCATTAATGCTTTGGGCAGTGGCATTAAAGGAAGGAGTAGTTTGCAAAAGTGACCACTTTATTTGTTTTTTAAGTTTTCAATATTCACTTCCACAAGATTTTGAGTTCCAAATTTTCTCCCCATCTCTCCCCTCCCCCCACCCCAAGATGGTGTGCATTCTGAATACCCCTTCTGCTGATCTGCCCTCCCTTCTATCACCCCACCTTTCTCTTATCCCCTTACCCTTCTAGTTTCCTTTAGGGCAGGATAGATTCCTATACCACATTCTGTATCTTATTTCCCAGTTGCATGTATAAACAATTTTTAACATTTGCTTTTCAAAACTTTGGATTCCAAATTCTCTCCCTCCCTCCCTACTCACCCTCATTGAGAAGGCAAGAGACTCGATACCAGTTATACATGTGTAGTCATGCAAAATGCTTCCATAATAGCCATGTTGTGAAAAACTATATTTCCCTTCTATCCCACCCCCCCATTTATTCTATTCTCTCCTTTGACCCTGAAAAGCATTTGCATCTGATTACCTCCTCCCCCAATCTGCCCTCCCTTCTAGCATCCCCCCTCACTTAATCCCCTTCTTCTCTATTTTCCTGTAGGGTAAGATAGATTTTCATACCCAATTGAATGTGTATGTTTTTTCCTCCTTAAGCCAAATCCAGTGAGAGAAAGATTCATTCATTCCCTCTCACCTTCCCCTCTCTTCTCCTCCATGGTAAAAGCTTTTTCCTCCCTCTTCTATGTGAGATAATTTACCCCTTTCTACCTCTCCCTTTCTCCTTCTCCCAGTACAATCTTCTCTCACACCTTAATTTATCTCTCTCTCTCTCTCTATATATATATGTACACACACACACATACGTATATACACACACATACATATATATATACATATTCCCTCCAACTACCCTAATAGTGAGAAAGATCTCATGAGTTACTAATTATCATCTTTCCATTTTATATTCATAAACAGTTTAACTTTAGTAAGTCCCTTATGATTTCTCTTTCCTGTTTACCTTTTTATGCTTCTCTTGAGTCTTATATTTGAAAGTCAAATTTTCTATTCAGCTCTGGTCTTTTCATCAAGAATGCTTGAAAGTCCTATATTTCACTGAATGTCCATTTTTTCCCCTGAAGGATTATATTCAGTTTTGCTGGGTAGGTGATTCTTGGTTTTAATCCTAGCTCCTTTGACCTCCAGAATATCATATTCTAAGCCCTCTGATGCTTTAATGTAGAAGCTGCTAAATCTTGTGTATCCTGATTGTGTTTCCACAACACTTGAATTATTTCTTTTTGGCTGCTTGCAAAATTTTCTCCTCGACCTGGGAACTCTGGAATTTGGCTATAATATTCCTAGGGGTTCTCCTTTGGGGATCTCTTTCAGGAGGTGATTGGTGGATTCTTTCAACTTCTATTTTACCCTCTGGTTCTAGAACATCAGGGCAATTTTCCTTGCTAATTTCTTGAAAGATGATTTTTAGGCTCTTTTTTTGATCATGGCTTTCAGGTAGTCCAATAATTTTTAAATGATCTCTCCTGGATCTATTTTCCAGGTCAGTTGTTTTTCCAATTAGATATTTCACATTGTCTTCTATTTTTTTCATTCTTTTGGTTTCATTTTATAATTTCCTAATTTCTCATAAAGTCATTAGCTTCCATTTGCTCCATTATAATTTTTAAGGAAGTATTTTCTTCAGTGAGCTTATGGACTTCCTTTTCCATTTGGCAAATTCTGCTTTTTAAGGCATTCTTCTCCTCATTGGCTTTTGGGACTTCTTTTGCCTATTAGTCTATTTTTTAAGGTATAATTTCCTTGAGTATTTTTTTGGGTCACCTTTAGCAAGCTGTTGACTTGTTTTTCATGATTTTCTTGCATCATTCTCACTTCTCTTCCGAGTTTTTCCTCTACTTCACTTACTTGCTTCTCAAATGAGCTCTTCCATGGCTTGGGACCAATTCGTATTTTTCTTTGATCTTCTTTTTCATCAAAGTTAGATTCTATGGTCTGACTTTTTTTGTCCTATTTGCTCATATTCCCAGCCAATTACTTGACTATTAAATTCTTTGTTAAGGTAGGGGTCTGCTTCCAGTGTGGAGAATGTACTGTCCCAAACTTCAGGGGTTTTGTACAACAGTTTTCAGAGATACTTCTAGGGACCTATAAATTTTCAGTTCTTCCAAGGTAGTATGATCAAAGGCAAGATATTTACTCCTTTCCTCGCCTGTGCTCTCATCTATGAGTGACCACAAGCACTCTTTTCTGCCTTGGAACTATGAGGAGGATTCCCTCTCCACTGCCTCCACAAGCTCCACTATGCCAGCACTCCTCCTCACCCCAGGACCGCCACCCAGAGCTGCGACCCAGATCCAAGAATAGGCAAAGCAAGAGAATTCTACCTCAGCACTAACCCCTTCTGATCAGCCACTCATTCCCCCCACCATCTGTGGGATGAGAGCTCCAGAAGCAGCCCTGCTGCTGCACCACAGCTGGGGCTGGACCATGCTCCTCTCTTACCCAGTCCAACAGACCTTTCCTACTGATCTTCTAAGTTGTCTTTGGCATTGGTGGGTTGAGAAGTCTGGAAACCGCCAGTCCCCTGAGGCCTGCTCCAGGTTCACTGAGGCCTGGTCTTTGCCTGCGTGGCCCACGCTGAACTATGCTCCTCTACCAGCCTGACGCAACAGACCTTACCAATCAATCATCCAGGTTGTCTTGGGCTGGAAATTTGTTTCACTCTGTCTTTTTGTGGGTTCTGATGCTCTCGAATTTGTTTAAAGCCATTTTTTACAGGTATTTGGGGGAGAGCTCAAGCAGATCGCTGCTTTTACTCTGCCACCTTGGCTCCACCTCCCCAAAGTCACTACTTTAAAGAGGACAACACATCAATATATGGTTTTCTCTAGGGAAAAAACATACACAATAGTCTCTTTGCCTCATGGCCACCTATCATTTTCACCAATGTTAAGAAGACTACAGTGGATTTTTTTTATTGGATTCTTCTTTCTCGTGCTTTTTCCCTTTGGTTCTACTTCTTATTTACAACACGAGTAATGTGGAAATATGTTTCATATGATATGTATGTATATGTAAATGTGTATATATATGTATAGCCTATATCAGATTGCATGTCATCTTGGGGATTGGGGAGTAGGGATGGGGGAGAAATTTTACAACTCAAAATCTTAATAGAAGTGAATGTTGAAAACTAAAAACAAATAAGTAAAATTTTTTTTAAAAAAAGACTATAGTAGAGAGAGTCTAGGTTTTCAACATGAGGCAACTTGGATTTTAGCCACACATTTTTCCACCATGTAGCTATATGACCATTAAGTAATTCAAAATAAAATTAATGTACTTTGAAAAGTTCTACACAGACAATATGGCATTTCAATAAAATGTATATATTTATAAATGTAGTTATTCTTTGTAATAATTCGTAAGCAAATAGCTTTTAAGTGCAAAATAACTCAAACAGAAATTCAAGGAGCAGATTTACATTTGTTGTTCAGGCAATCTAAGTGAGTTTTAATATATAACTAGAAAATATAGGCCGTTAATCAGTGTGCAAAGATGTTGGAGACATGAATTCAAAACTGAACCACCAATACAGATGTCATGGTGGATAATGAGTTGGTGTTGTAGCCTGGCAAACTTAAGTTTAAGTCCCACCTATGATACATACTAACTGTGCAACCAGGGAAAAGTCAATTAACCTATCACTAACCTAGGGAAGTAAGACTGTAAGTCGCAAAGAAGGTTATTAATGCAGAGACTTTTCTCATCTGGGAGTTCCTTATATTAATGAAATCACAGGGTTTGATCCCTGTCTCTGTTGTATGTTTGAAACAGTCAAAATTATTTACCTAGGAAGGTTAGATGAAGAGGAAATGTAAACCCATGTGTTCAGATGTGTCATTACGGGGTGCACAATCCTCAAAAAGACAGAGAAGCTAAAAGAGTACCTTAAACATTGGCTTCCTTAAAATGTGCAATTTCTCATCATCAAACCTCAATTCCCAAAACAGGTGCACATTTATTTGATCAAAACATCTAGTACAGGATGATATAACTGCAGGTACAAGTCATACAGGCCCTGGGTAAACAAGCACAAGTATCCTTTCTTTCACCAAAGACAGAAAAAGCATTCCAGAAAGCCTAGAGGTACAGATCCAAAATGCTTTCCAGGTGTGCTTTTTAAGACCTCTTCCACTGTCTGTGATATCATATGTGATGCATTACCTCTGGTCTTTGGACTAGAGAGATGGCTTTTGGTACACTGTGCATGTATCATTTCTGTAAGTAACCGGGAATACATTCCACAGGTATATATATGCAAACATGAAAAACCTGGCCAAAAAGAGATTCCTTTGTAGGTAAGTACTTGTGTTCCTATCAATTTACACACCACATCTTATCTAAGGTTAAGACACAATCAAACATTTAAAACCTTATATGGTATTCCTCAACAATTTGCAGAGGGAGATTCAGCATATTAGGTTTAGAGAGTTAAGGCCTGTAGAGTTTGTATAGGAGATTCTGAATTGTCATTTTCTTAAGGTTGGGCTACTGTGTAACTATAACCCACATTCCACTAGGTCCACCCCTCCTTTCTTATCACAGTCCTCAATTCCTTATATCAGCCCATGCTGTAATTTTCTGGGAAAAATGAGACAGTGTCTGTTCTCCCTAGCTGAAAGATCTAGATTATTTGTAGCCTTTTCTCCCAGAATAGGCTAGCATTGTAGCCAGGGAGCAAGTGTTAGGGTACAAAAGACATTTCTTGATGAGTAACTATGTAGAAAGATAAAACTGCCAACTATCCAGACTAAAATAAGCCTGTTCAAGGTTCTTTCCTCAAATTAGTTTTAGGACATTCAGTTTTGTTTGTGTTTCCTTCCTTTAGGCCCCATGAGCCTTACCAACTTACCAAACCCTCAATGGCAGCTGTGAGAAAATTAGCATGTATCTAGAGGAGTACCTGTTTCCAGCCTGGAATCTATTAGCAAAGGTATCAAACATAAAGAATAAAGAGGATATATAATAATCACATAAGGATATAGGCCAAGATGAATTTCTAGGGTTAGTTGTGCGACAATGTGGTCATGTGACCAACATTGTCATCCTGACCCCAAGACTCTTCAAGAGCCACACATGATGGTTAGTTAGGGAAAACAGACAACCAGTGACAACCAAGAAATGAACTGGTTTGCCTGTAGAGGTGTTATATCACCCATGGACCAAGGCGACTATTTGATGAGCTTCTTGGGTATGGCAACCTATATAAATGGAAGAAGCAATTGCCACTCCTCGAAGGAGCTTTCCCCACACCCCCCAGTTTGAAAGAGAGAAGAATATTTTATGGGTATTTAATTCATTCTCACTCTAAATATTTGACCTTAGAAAATGAAATAACAAGGTCATCATCACATCCTAGATTTATTACAACTGACCTGCAGGCAAAAAGGATAGAACTATTACATAAACACTTCAATTCCATGATATATCTTAAATAGAGAAGTAATTCAAACCAGAATACAGGATAAAATATTCCAAAGCTCTGAGAAGCAGATATGTTACTAAGATCCATTTTACAGACAAATAAGGCAATATCCCTGCACATTAGCTTTTTGATAATTTTTATACATTTTTCTATGGTACAAGAAAAAAAAATAACCAGAGCTCACAATGTACAGTTCTTACACTATTTTCACAGTCTGTGAACACTGTATACCCCTTTTTTTTAAAAAATAAAGATACACTGTAATAAACTCCTTGCCCTTAATAGTTTATAATAATCTATGATTAATACACTAATAAATTGCCTCTTATAAGATCATCCACACAAGAGAATGGTCAGACTAGCTCCTGGACAGTCAGAATTGCTTTCATCCCCATTAGAAAAATAGCAAAGTGACCACGTGCTGAACCAGACAGGAAGAAGTTGACAATAGAGAAGAAAACTCCCCTCAGAAGAGATGCAGGAAAGGGCAATAGCTTAAATGCAGTGGAAGTAAGCCATACATCCTGTCTGTCACTTCTCATGTCTCTGACAAATATACATAATGACCAAAAAGGAAGAACCATTTTTAAATTCTGAAATTACAGGCGTGTAACTTCCAATAGCACCATTCTTTCTTTATTGTTCTATTTTCTAATATCAATATCCATCACAAGCCCTGGGAGGAGAATGAGCAATTGCTGCCATGATTTAGTTCTGTGATGGATACGCATCCCCTGCAGACCCAACCATGTCTAATATATACTCTAGCATGCCTCTAACCATGCACAATAATTTTTGCTACACACAGTCTAACTTTTAGTGTCCCAGGATACAGAGAGAAGGTAGACAGCTGACACCCAAAGAGGGGCTGGCTGATACCTGTTAGCAAAAGGCAGGAGACTTAAATGGCTTTCTAACACTTCCTGTCTTTGGGCATTTTTTATCCACCAAGAATTCCAATTCTAGGAAGCCATTTCAAATTGGCTTCTGGTCAAATTTATTTCCAGGAAAAAAAAAAAAGATTCTTTTATCACACTATCCAGTGTGCCATACTTCCTAACCCCTATAATATTAAAATATATCACAAGTTATAATCGGGGCTAAAGGCTATTGTTATGGAAGTTTGAGGCAAATAAAAAAATACACACACGATGAAAGTTTCAAATATAGTAGATTAAGCAAATGGTAATATAGCAACCACAGGCAGCCACATGAAGCGAATTTTTCAGGAACTGAAGTTCTGGAGAACAGGGATGACTAGAAGCAAATCCTGTGCTGTTTGTAGGAAACAAACTTCTACCTAAACAACCAAAGCAATTTGTTCCTCTCATCTATCAGTACATTATGTCTAGAAAAGTATCGGCCTAGAGCAAAGGAGAGTCAGAACTAGAATTACTAAGTTGCCTGGGAGAAGACCTTAGGATTTAAAAAAAAAAAAGTTCAACTTTGCCCTTTGCACTGTTTTCTTTTAATCCTGGGGGTTTGTGGTAGGTGGAGCATCATTTTGGCAGCACACTGAATTCTAATAAATCAAAGATTCTTAGGGTCAGCACCTTCTATGAAAAGTGGCAAACTCCGGGATCTTCCCAATGAAGAAAAGCTGTATTGGGAAAGGAGAAAAAGAACACATTCTGTCCTGTCTCAGGGTTTTAATGTTAGTCTCTTTCAACGCAACATTTTTTTTGGTAACGACAGTCACTCTAATTTAATATATTTCATTTGAACAGGAAATTCGGTTGAGCACACTGACCCAGAACATACATGGTGACTGTAAAGCAACAGAACATCAAATCAGTAAATCTATTGCACTTAGTGAAGAAAATAAATTCCTCCTTTGTCGTTCAACTTCAGAAGGCGCTGTGTGTCTCACTGGCCTTGCCAGCTCTTCTCATTCAGTCCTACATCTCTACATTCGCACATGGCACACTTATGTTGCCTCCTTCTTAAAACATTTGGGAATTTGAGAACACCATTCTAGTAGCTGCATCTCCAAGTTTTGAGTCTAGAAATGAATTTAAAACGCAATCCAATCACTATCAATAGATCAATTATACTGACTTCCACATATCATGAATATGCTCATCACAAAAGGGTAGGATGAGGTCTCTCTGACCAGCACTAACACTGTGTGATCAATCAGATATTATAGGGATGCACTTTCTATGTGACAAGAGTATACAGACATGATGGAAACGAACACCAATCTTATTGCACATGGTGTCTGGGCAAGCAATAAAAACACTGTGATGGATGAAAATTCTTTACATCTTGTTTCCTCTCAGCCCTTTTTCTAGAGTTTGACGTAGCAGCAATATCAATCAACATACATGGGAGAGGTGGGAGTTGCTGGCATTTGATCCAGGATTTTACAAACGTAGCATGCAACCTCCACTGTGCGCTCTTCATACATCAAAATAAAGGGATGTTTCTAAAAGGCAATCAAAAATTCAAGAATTAATACTTCTGGCTAGGACAATCCAGAACTTTGTATATTTTAACACAACCCAAAGCTACAGGCAAGTGTACAAGTTCAGAATAATGATAAAAGCGAAATTTTAATATCTGTTGTTAGGTGTATATGGAAGATGGAAATATGTTGTGTCCATAACTAGTACTGACACCAACTTTTACACCACTATCTCAGGGAAAGGAAGAAGCTGCTCTCTGCTGGTAACTAATCACCACAATGAAAAGGAGTCTGACCATGTTGGGGGGGTACAGCTACCCCTCCTCACACAAAAGTGGTCAGGCAACATGCTGAAGCACCAAGGGAAGCATTTGGAAATTCAGAACTTTCCATTGTTCTGCTCTGGGGAAGCAAGCTTGACCAAAAGGAGCCCCCTTTGCAGCAATGGTTGGCTTTATCCAAAATGGCTTCAACCAGTACCAGCTCTATAAAAACAAATCAACTTAGCAGGAAGTGTTAGCAACTTACCAGGATCTTGCTGTCTTTTATGATATTTCACCCAGATGTTAAAGCTCTGTCTCTGACCCAAGTAATTTCTTTCTGTTTCTAATATGGCAATGGCTTTTCTTTATTATTTCTCTAAACTGACTAGTGCCTTTTGAATCAATACCAGGGAGAAACATGACTCAACCTTGGCATCACCTTCAGAATTCTAAGGCTGGTTGTTTTTCAATGTCTTATTGCTGATTTTACCCAGTATTTCTTCCTGTCAATATTTTCATGTGATTGGATGTGACTGGATCATACATACATCTTTCTAATAAAAGCTGAACAAATGGGAGAGACAATATAGCCACTTAAATATTCAAATTCCCTATAATTTGAAGTTTCCACATTTATAAAATGTTGATTCTTTAGCCCTAAATCTGTGATCCTCTGACATGTATGCTGCATTTGAATATAAATGTTCTTTTAACGAATGAACAAAAAAAATTTATATAACCCTTTGACTACCATTTCTTGGGGGTGAAGGGTAAATTCCCAAAGGATATGTAAATCTAACCTATCTCTTATAAATATGAGCTACTATTACCTGCAGTTACATAGCACAAAATTCACTAGAGACAAATAAATATTCCCATGGATCTTTATGGCCTAGTCAATCTGGATTATTTAGGTTTTTCTGAATTCCTTTTCTTCACTAACAAACAGGTATGGTAAACTGACATAGGCATTTGTACCCATAAAAACAGGGAGACATTGACAGGCATTTTATACATATACCTGGCACCTCCCCCTTATAGATGTTGGTTTTTTATATTTAAATATTCCCTTGCTTTCTGTGTGTGTGTGTGTGTGTGTGTGTGTGTGTGCGTGAACAAAGAGATAGGAGTTAGTCAGGGAGTGGGAAGGGGGAATCTCCCAACCAATAGTTGTCATCTAGCCTCTGCTGGAGATTAAAATACCTACAACTGCCAGGGTGCACAATTATCTGACAAAGTGATCACAAAGGCAGGTTGTTTCTTAAAGTGATTGTCAGAATTTAGAAAAGCATTTTTGAAATTCATATAGAAAAACTCTAAAATACAAAAGTTCTCTTTACACATAACTTTTATGACTATATTCTAATGTGTTAAATCATACTTAGCATAGTCTGCCCAAAAAATGTTATCAGTTATATGAGAGATCTATATTCTTGCAAACCAAACTACTCATAAGCCTACAGTCTCATACTCACCAGAAGTTCTTTATACTTTGGCCTTTTGGATTCATCCTTTGTAAGGCTAAAACAATTTAAAAATAGAATTGTTAAAATGGGGAGACACTACTATGTTTTTCTTTTCTTAAATACAATAAACTAATCTTCTAGGATAGGACATCTTCTTTTTGAACAAATATAAAACCCAACAGAAACGAAACTCAAGACCTCCTCTTATGATTCATGACCAGGGGCTTACATTCTCTCCTCAAAATAACCTTCAACTTCACTTTTTATAATTGCCAGTACAGCAGGTATTTTGGTGAGATAAGAGCTAATTCAGTAGTACAGATAAATTTAGCTTTTATTCAGGAAGACTCCTGGGGGCAACTTATGAATAGTGAGGGCAATAAAGAGTCCAAGGCTAATATGACAGCTAGTAAATGCCAGAGGTGGAGACTTAGATCTAGATCTCCTGACTCCTAACCCACTGGTTTTTCCACTGCTGTTAAAGTGAATCTTTGACCCTGGTCTTTGGCTCAACATACTAGATTACTTACTTCTCTGAGAATTTTTCTGGGAATTTCTTAAAGAGCTAGTAACTATCTGGCATTTGACCCTGTAGGGCAGGGGTTCTTAAACTTTATTGTATCATGAACCCCTTTGTCAGTCTGGTACAGGAGTCTACAGACTCCTTCTCAGTATCATTTTTAAATTAATCAAATTTGATACATAGGAAATCAAAGATTTAATATTTTTCCCATCCAAGTCCCTGGACTCAGGTTAAGAACCCTTATTATAAGGGATGGGGGCAAGAGTTAAAAAAAGGGAGGAAAAACAGCTGATAGAGAGAGTAAGGCTTGGCATACTCTATGTGGAAGGAGGACAGGGAATCAAAGCCTCCTTCTTTCATTCATCTTTAAACTTGAAGCTCTGCTGCTAAAACTCCTGTGAAGTTATGGATACCTTCAGATAGGTGAAGGATAAACACATTCATTATGCCATTAAGAAAGTGTTTTCTCTTTAAAATGTAAAATTTAATTTCTTTAAAAAGTGAAATTTAATTTCTTTAGAGGCACCATAGTACTGTACAAAGTCTGCTGGATTTGGAATCAGAAGAGCTGGATTTGAATCCTGAGCTCTGTCACGACTACCTATGTGACTTTTGGCAAGTAACTTCATCTCTTTAGGCCTTAGTCTCCTTATTTGTAAAACAAGAGGATTGGGCTAGATGATTTCTATTCCTTCTGCTTCTAAATCTGTGATTCTATGACCCTCATCATGTAGTGGGCTGGGAGCAACAAGGGAGAAATATCTTCATGTAGATGACAATGTTCAAAGTAAGAAGATACCTTAGATATGATCTCATCTTACAGCTGGCTCAAATAGGTTAAGCAACTCATTCAAAGTCACACAGGCAGCAAGAAGGGCACAGACTGGAACCTAGATTTTATTACTTCAAAATCCAGTGCCCTTTCCACTATTTTTTTTCCTCTATCACTTCGTTTTCCTGATATAGTTTCATTCTAACATTAAAAATAAAAGGTATATATGATAAAATGACAACTACTACAAAAAGCACAAGAAAGAAAGCATGAAAGATGCTGAGAGAAGAAAGAGGACAAAAACTTCAAAAAAAAACTCTCATAGCAGGTGAACTCAGGTTAAAGGCAATAATTCATATGGTGTCCAAAGGATCCATAAAACACTCTCCTTTCTATAGAAAACTTATTTATACCAGGGATGATTCTGGGAGTGAGGGAAAGAACAGGAAACATCTGTGTGTAAAAAATAAAAGGACTTACTAAACTTTAAAGGAATAAACAAAGATTCCTCTACTTCTTAGAAATATAAATTTAGGGGCAGCTAGGTGGCGCAGTGGATAGAGTACTGGCCCTAGATTCAGGAGGATCTGGGTTCAAATCCAGCCTCAGACACATAACCCTCACTAGTTGTGTGACTCTGGGCAAGTCACTTAACCCCGAATGCTTCATTAACAAGAAGAAGAAGAAGAAGAAGAAGAAGAAGAAGAAGAAGAAGAAGAAGAA